TGCTTTGGTCACATTATCACCCTGATGAAGGGATCCTGTGCGGCCCCGAAACGTTGGTCTTTTCGTTTGTGACGATATGTCTGAATAAATGGACGTTTACTCTTTGAAAACTATTCATTGAGTGATTCCTGCTTTCTACTGTTGATGTGCACGGTGCCATCCGTGATTATCACTGCGAGCACCATCATTACAATTTGAGCCAGGAACGCTGTAAGGAGTGCAGAGGGACCTTCCATTTTCTACAGTGTCAGCTGTAAGACACAAGGTCCAATCACCAGACTAACATTCCTGGATACGGGATCAACATGGTTGACAAGGTTTTTAAGCTACCTACAGACAAGCTAGCTGAACTAACTCCAGAGTTTAATTAATTCGTTTTGTCACAGTCAAAAGACAGCAGATGCAAACGCTGCATGGTCTTCTAGAATTTGCAAACATAATCATGCCTATGGAAAGAATTTTCTCCCACGAGGCATAAGAAAGTTAACCAATTTATTTGCATAACAAAACCATTAAGCAGTCATTTAAAAATGCTGCATTGATTTATGCATGATTACAAAGGGAGTTCTTGTTTCCAGCATCTGTAAGTGTCTATTGTTGATGTAGCTTTATACGCAGATGTTGTAAACGCAAAAGGTTTTAAGACCATTCTTGGATCCACTTGGTGTACTGGAGCCTGGCCAGAGCAATAAGTGGAATTCGGTTTGCAATCTGGTTTTGTTTCAGAACATGTCCCAAGTGCGGAGGACTGAGTTCCTGGCATTCTCTACTGTTCTATTTTTCTATTTGGGAAGTGTGTTGGGGCCTTCAACCTCAAGAAGACTTTATTGGATCTGCATGCCAACTTCCTTGTGCACAGTAGTAGACGACAACTTATAACTCTGATCCATGGTTCTGTGGCCCCATCTGCCTTTAATGGTATTGGTAAGGCATGGAGTAAGGGTACACATTGCCAAAAAAGGACAAATGATATTCGCAGATGATTACTGAAACTTTTCTTTGAGAGATAGGCAATAAAACAATGAAAGAAGGAGTCTACATATTTTGATGCACCCTGTTACATTTTCCCTAAAGGTATCTGTCATCTACATCCAGAAGTCTGCTTCTACTCTTTTTACAGCAGCATTTGGTTTGACCTTTTTTTTTACGGAGCTCTATACTAGCCCTTGCCACTACCAAAGCAAGAGGTGGTCTTCTTAAAGACATCTTAGTGGTAAATGGCAGGGTTAGAGTTTTTTCCCAGTCAAAAACTGGCATTAGGAGAGGCTTCCAGCTTTCAGATAATGTTATTTTTTAAGTTTCTGTGATATCTCTCCAAAAATGTTATGTCACAGCTGTGTGACGTGATGCTGTGTGATGATTGCGTGTTATGTCTTAAAATCATGCCTAAGTACATGCCCATCAAAATGGCTTGCCCCTGGTTTTCTATCTGTTTTTTATCACAAGATTGATGGCTTGGTTTAATTAGGGAAGGATATGATATTTGGTTAATCAATTAATAAAGCTATTTCTGAACCCTTACCTGATTATACGCCTATGTCTGTGTTATATCTATCTATCTATACACGCACACGCACGCACGCACGCAAACACACACAATTTATATTAAGTGAGATCATCATGACAGGATTAAAGGAGAAGTATTGGGAGAATAAACTATATCCTTCGCAATGCTTAGAACTGGCATGGAACACTGCAGCTCTATACTGTATATCATGAGCTAAGCGATCATGAACCGCTGGTTGCTCAGCTCATGGCTTTTTCCTGCAGGAAGTAGTGACCCTCAGTTGCCACTTCCCACAGGTTTTCCCCCCTCCACTCTCTGTTCATCTTGCGCTCATAAGAGGGACAGACCAGGGAGGGGGTGGGTACAGCTGGCTCTGGCTCTAGAGAAGCAGAGTCAGCTGTCAATCAGGCAGCGGGGTGGAATCTGACAATATTGTAGGGATCCTTCCCATCTGCAGCATGGCTCTATCAGCATATAGCGCGCTGCTGACTTTGGGTCACACAAGTACATTAGTGAATGTGCTCCTGTGACCCAAATGAGAGGTGAAGCCAAAAAAAAGGTTTGGCTTTACTCCTTTAATAGTTGACATTTCTCAGAAGTGTAAAAATGTTTTTTAATTTATCTTGCCACATGGGCAACCCAGCATGTGAATGTGCTGAAGCATCAGCCTATTATTCAAGCTTTAATACAAACAAACTTAATTTGATTTTGGTTGAAAATATCATTTTTAACCTTTTTGTGCTGACTTTTTACATGCCTTGCATTTTAAGCATAGAATTTTTTTTTTATTAGGTTGGAGAGTACTCTGTTCCTAGGGATATAAACATGCAGTGAAAACATCTACCCTGCAATAACTGGGACCTTTAACTTTAAGTAGGTGGATAGTTTATGGGTGGGATGCACCTATTCTTTTATTGTTTTAGATGTCACCAAGGTATATCCGGTTAGCATTTATAAAAAGAGGAAGATACGTTTGCAGTGACTTTATTTTCTGTTTTCCCCTTGCCACAAACACATGCAATTTTTATACTCACACTTGTTTGGTGATCAAATAAATGTAACACCTAAACAGTGTAGGTGGGTCAGAGTAAGTGCACATTCACAGATCTGCAAAGAGGCCTACGTATCTTCCTGTTCTGTCAAAATTCCCCAGCACTCAATCTAGCCTGTTAGTGCAGAAAAATTCATTAAACAGCCCCTAACATTTAGATTAACAGGGCTTTTGTTGCATACATTTGCTAATATATGTAGTAACATTTGCAGGACCAAAGCACCTCTGCCCTAAAGGCTTGTGCCAATGGGTAAATGCTGCTTGATTTTGACCTCACTTTTGGAAGCTTTGCAGATAATTCAGAATTCATTGACAGGTGTATTTAACCTTCAGACAACTTCCTTCTGATCTGCATTTGACCTGCTTCAAGCACTTATGAATTCCCATAGACTTGGATCGGGAGAGAAGCTGATCTGACAGGAACAAATGCACATCGACACAGGCTTTGTACTATGAGCATCCAATATGGGGCATGTACTATGGGGTCTATTCACTAAGCTGCCGTATTTCCGTCAGGCTACTCGCTGCTGTTTGGTCTATTCTTATAGATGCCGAACAGCAGTGAGTAAATAGCGGCATTCGGCTCGGCTGTTCTGCTCGGTCCCTCTGTGGGACCGAGCAGAACAGAAAAATAGTTAAAGTAGAACAAAAAAATAGAAAACGATTGTGCGGAGCTAGCAGTGACAGCTAGCTCTGCCCAACTGTTTTCTATTAGCCGGGTGGTTCTGTTGCCGTCAAAAAAAAAGAAAAAAAATCCCCATAGGAAAGCATAGCTAGATTCCTATTGGCTATTTCACTTTGCAATAGCCAATTGCAAACTAGCTATTGCACCCGCCGTCTGCTGCTGTCAATCACCAGACGGAGACCTGATGGAGAACTGCAGGTCCCCCTCTGCTGATTGACAGCAGCAGTGGGCCGGTGCAATAGCTAGTTTGCTATTGGCTATTGCAAATTGAAATAGCCAATAGGAATCCAACTACGCTTTCCTATGGGCTGCCGTCAGAAGAAAAAAAAGAAAAAACCGAGCAGGGATAGGTTTACTCTGCTCGATCGACTATTATACTCCCAGAGCGTCCGGGGAAGAAAATGACAGATGCGTTCCTGGTTACCAGGTAACCAGAAGTGACATCTGTCATTACACACTGAGAACACGGAGAGGCCGCTCTCAGTGTGTAATGACAGCGTCCCTGCTTAGCTGGTAACCAGGGACGCTGATCTCTCTGCAAGTGGCCGGTGCCAGCCATGAGATGACGGCTGGCTCTGCCCACCTGTCAGAAGCAGGCTATCGGCCAGCCATTCGACCAGCTTCGGCTTTCAGCGCTCCTCAGTCAAGCCGAGGCATATTCCTTCGGCTCGACTGAGCCGCTTGGCCAACATCGGGAGCTGTACAGGCTATAGGGAATAGCCCGTACAGCAGCCCTTCGGTTCTACTGAACCGAAGGGGTCCTGGGGCCGAAGCTAGCCGAAGAATCAGCCGAAGATACGGCTAGATCCTTTGGCAGCTTTGTGAATAGACCCCTATATATAGTAACTAGTGATGACCTGGTTCAGTGAAACCCAGTTCGCCTGACACCGCCCCCCTCACTGCCCAAGTGTTGCGACAGTTGTGGTGAAGGAATTCCCTGCTCTTTTGTGATACTTAGGAGTGCATCTGCCACAAATAATCGGACTGGGAGGAGGGTGTGTCGATCACAGTTTTGAGCAGGCTTGGGCAAATTGGGTTCGCACCAAGCCCCAGCTTATCACTAAAGTTATAAATAATTAAAGACCCCTATGGTGTATCTGCAACAATCCCAAAAAAAATAGCAGTTGCTCACGTTATTTATAACTAGCAAGGGAAAGATGCACATGGGTGTGGTAATGTTAGAAACGGTTTAAAATTAGGGTTTCTGCACTAAGCAGCTCGATTGAGTGTTGGTGAATTTATGAAGGGAACAGTGGATGTAGCGTGGAGTAGAGAGGAGTGGACAAAAGCAGAACAGGTTGGACAGCAAGTCCACTCCACTCATGCATCGCTGTTCAAGGGTGTGAGACACAGTATGGTGGAGAAAGATAGAGTTGGGCAAGAGATGCTTAGTTAGCCCTGCAATCATAAAATTCTATAGCAAGCAGTGAGGTATGGCTGCCTATTTAGACCTACAAAAGGGGGCAGAGGTTACTGGTGACCCAGCACATAAACAGCAGGCTGATGCGATCAGTCTCCTCAGCAGAACCTTTGTGCCTGTATATTATGCAAAAATAACCTTTCAAGATAATTTGGGAGGAGACTGGGATGATCTTCAAAGAAATGGATGACAAACTAACAAAGCAAGCTTGCAGTTACAATACTGTATGCCCTGTTACTTGCCCAAAATTTAGCTTTAAGTAGCAGGCAGTATATGAAGGTTGGCACCTTTCTGTGGAAAGATTTAAAAGGACTGCATACAGACTGTACTTACATACCTTCCCGTAGACCATGGTTTGCTAAGAGATTTTGGAAACACAAGCGAAGGTGCTGAACATCTCCTCTGAGCCAAAGACTTATGGAGCTGTAGACATAATTTGAGGACAAAAAAATAGTTTATTTTTTTCTATATAGAATCAGTATGTAACGTCAAAAGTTTTTAATAGTTTTTCAAATAGAATATGAGGCAGTACACAAAGTTCGAAAACAACATCCATAAAGGGGATATCACAGTTTTAGCCCAACATTGTTGTCATACATACCATGTCATATATTAATATATAAAAAAAGGAGGGGGCAGCAGCTTTCCAAGAGAGAAATTAGGGCTTCCAGGCTATAGAATTATAAAGGAGGGCGTCATCAGGATGATAGAGCAGTGAAGGAAACACATTTTAATATCGAGATATTTCACAGAAAAATACACTGCTTTCTTAACCGTTTGAACGGTCCCATAGGAGGAAAGCTAAGGGCACTTGAGGTTGTTAGACAGGTAACCGTTAGTATGATGCGTAATAAAATTTTGCAGGGGCTAGATAACATATAAAACAAACAGGACAAAAGACTGATGTGGGGGTAGGGGGATAGACAGAGAGAATCAGTATGTAATGAATAATCTAGTAAAATAGGAAGTCAGTAGGCAAAAGATACAGTACATTGTTCTTTCCATCACTACCTAAAGTAGGGCACCTACATTGGTTTTATTTAAACACAGAAGAAATTGATATGAGAAGTATAAAGAAACGTTATACTTCCTGGATCAATTTCTCCTGCAGTTACAGTAGATACTCTAAATATAAACACGTTTAAATTTGTGTACATTTACACTGCACCTGGATGTACACATTTCTATATTTTTTTAAAGGCAACCAAAATGAATGCACCTGAATGCAAGTGATACACAGTGTGCATTATACAATTTACAATCATTCCATGCATTTGAATGTATTTAGAAATGTCCAAAAAATTCATATAATCATAGGTCTGTGTGAATGAGACCTGAACTTCTCTTATTTGCTCTCTTTTCATCTGCTGAATACACTGTTGAAAAAGGCACACTTCAGTTTTCTCCCAAGCATTGTTATTAACCCTGCCCAGTTCTCCTCAGTGGACTATAGAACACCCCCTACCCTGCATGTTATGGCATTGAGAAAAGGAAGTATTCTGTAGTCCCAACACTTACTTCTGTTCTAGGGTAACAACGCTGCTTCTCCACAGATACGGTACAGTGAAACAAAACAAAAACTAATGCAGCAACCACATCTAAGTACTGGTAAGCTGGAATTCACATTTTTGTTCTTAGGGTTTATATACACTTTAAGCACACATCATTCATTATGCTTTTTCTAGATAAAACTGGCTTTAAAAAAACAAAAACACCGAAAGATACCCACTGATAGCAATAGTTAGTGAACTATCATATTAAATCAAAGATCATATGATGAGCTGTTAACATTGCCCAGAACAGCTGCTGGGTGGTTGAAAACAAGTAATCCAGTAAAAGAGGACTAAACCTGAAGCTTCAGCTATTCCACACTGCCTGTACTTGCTGCCTGTACTCCTTCTCTCTGAGTTAGTTTGTTACTGGGTCCTGACCCTCCCTGCCAATTGCAATTCCACTGTCCAATAAAGTGCCTTAATGTTCAGTATGGGCAATCCCATTGGACAAGGACACAGTGCAGGAGTGAGGTCACTAGTGCCTTCAGAAAAGTTCCAGGAGCCAGGGTCCAAGGTAGGATTTTATTTTAATAGTATATTTTGTTATTGATTTTGTATTTTCATGTGAGGTCAACTTTAGCTGTGATTTATAGTTAATAAATACTGAAAATTGTATTACAAATCACATTGCCAATAGGCAAATGTACTTCTTGAACCTATCAGAAGTGCTGCATAGTGTTCATGTATAATTGGTGAGGAAACTTGTTCCAAGGCAGCCAAGCTTTCTGGCAACATATTCATAATGAAAAAAAAATAAACAATTTCAGTAGTCAAATGCCGCACACTGGCAGTTATGAGGCATTACATGGACATGAACAGGAAAAGCATTTTGAGCAGTGATATTCACTTTTAATCAATGCATTTACCCCCATCTGTTAATATCGTTTTGGTTTCTGTACCTGAGGTACAGCATTGCCCCCTTATAACAGAAGATATTTACACGTCCTCATTTCCAGCACAAAACATACAAACAAGGAGCTCAGTCTCTGTCTATGCATTGGTGGCTGGAGTCCTGCAAAGGATTCCTTTTTGTCCCTATTAGCCATCTGTACATCCAGAACCACTAGAGTATAGCACAGATTTAGCTATAATTTTACAGAGCCAGTATTACTAGCTTGCATACAGCTGTTTCAGAATTTTTACGGCTTGTCTGCCTCCATGATGTAGGGCTTGCAAGTCCAGGGGAACAGTAGTGTGACCTAAAAGGTTGTAGTGTTTCTGAATATGCAATTTAGCCCATCTGCTAAATCCAACAACATGAAGTATAGTCTAGGGCCGTCCTTCTTTAAAGTGTATGTCTGATAATTCTTTTTAGTTTTGGACTGCATAGCTTCAAACTGTCCCTCATTTGGAAGGACTGCCCCTCTTTTGCAACCACATCCCTCTCTCTCTCTCTCTCTCTCTCTTTCTTCCTCAGTTGCCCTTCTTTTTGACCTGAAGTATAGATCTCTATAAAAAAAAAGAATTAACTCTGAAAAGTGTTTAGTGCGCGAAACTTTATCTCACCTTCAAATTATTCTATTTGCTACTTTGAAAAGACAAAACAAAGAAAACGTGGGGATGTAAAAAAGCAGGGTTAAACTAATATTTTTTTTTGCACATTAATCTGCATGGTCTGCGTTACTGAAGGTGCAGCAGAGGTGTGTCCTTTGCCTAAATACTTAGTGTCCCTTTTTCCCATCTCACAAAGTAGGGAGGTATGGGATTGAGTAGGGAATGGTATGAACCACTTCAGTTTTTTTTTGCTGTCTGTGTCCTTCCCCTTGGGAGAAACTACCTCCTACATCCTGTCTGGGAGAAACAGTAGAAATTTCTCCCCAAATATCTGCAGGACTGAGCTATTAAATTTACAGCTCAGTCCTGCTTATTACACAGGGAGATCATGGTTCTTTGTCAGTGCAACAGCCACCAGCTCAATATCATGGGTTCTGTGTGCTCCTAGTAAACAGAGAACAACACTGGCTATCACAGGGAGCTGAAACGCTATAAAAAAAGCACTGGACTAGCAAATGGTGCATTGGAGCATTGTAAACATCCATAACAACCATCTATAAAATAACATCATCAAGTTTAGTTAATGTATCTGAGACATTTCCTGTGTCTAGGAAAAGGAAAACAAATGTATAACAGATTTTGCAATACTGACAGATGTAATTTCAGAGCTATACCTGTCACTACTGGACCTGCATTACAAACAATTTGGAATGCGTCACAAAAATAAGTGAGTTAGCTTACAGCCATCAAGCGCAACCCTCATATCTATGTCACAGTGATTTTTTTTAAAAGGTGTCTTCATGGTATTATTTATATTAACATGCTTGGGAGTTTCCTTGAGAACCTTTTTTTAATAAGTTTTTTTATTGAATTTGGTGCATAGAAAAGCAAATACACAAACATAAGGATTACCTACCCAATATAATGATAAAAGTACCATGTGCAGTTACAATTTTGTTTTTGCCAAGAAAACAAAAAACAAAAAAATTAAAACTATTAACAACGTGTACAGGGACAAGTGTTGCATGCTCACAGGTCCTTTCAGTTTATATTTAGGATATTTCCAAGTTACATTTCATGCAGTTGACCTACTTCTGATTTAATTCTGCCCTGCCATTCAATTCCTGGCCTTTGAACCGTGGTCAGGTGGTATAAAAGGGCCAATAATGGCAGTTTTCTAAAGTGTCAGCCCCATCCCTGAAAAAGTCAGGGTTTCTGTTAAACTTATGTTGGAGTGTGTGGAGTTGGCGTAGATAAGGACAGCTGACAGCAGTTTTGGGTAGAGATGGTTACTGCTATAAAGTGCTACATGCAGTGCTGTATTATGCTACATAACAGTGAATTCCACTGTGGTGGGCTGAAAAATAAGGAGTTCCCCCACCCTTATTCACTGTGCTGTATAATACTACATTAACCCCCGCAGTTTGTTTTTTTTTGGGGGGGGGGGG